CGACAGCTCCACCTAAACGCAGATAGCAATCCGACGTAGCCTTCAAATATCTCAGAACGCGTTTAGCAGCGGTCCAATCTGCTTCGCTGGGAGCCGAAAAACTTCTACCAAGAATCACCGTGGACGCAGCAATATCCGGTCGAGCAACAACCGACAAGTACAGCAGTCCACCAACTAGACACCTATATTTGGTAGCATCTTCGAACACTGCACTGTTGTTTCCATCTTTCAAAAAACCCTGATCCATCGGCGATCTAGTAGTCTTCGCTTCATGCATACCGTTCTTCGAAATGAGCTTCTCGATGTAATTCTTCAGCCGTATCCTGTAGCAATCTTCTCCACGTAGCACTTCTATTCCCAAGAAATGGCGAACTTCACCGAGATCCGTTAATTCGAACTCGTTACACAGACTGTGAACGATCTTCTTCACGATAGCATCCGATTTTCCAGATAACAACATATCATCCACATATACGAGCAGAAACACTTTTGTCTCATCTTCCATCTTCACAAACAAACACTGATCTGCACTAGATGCCTTGAATCCGAGCTTCGTGAGAACACTCTTCAACCTTGTGTTCCAGCATCTGGCCGATTGACGAAGGCCATAAATGCTTCGTTTTAAGCGGCACACTAACTCCTCCTGTCCTCGAGCTACGGAACCCGGTGGCTGCCGCATAAAAATTTCCTCTTCCAGCAATCCATTGAGGTAGGCTGTCTTAACGTCGAGGTGCCAAACCACCAACTTCTGGCTTGCAGTAATGGTGAGAAACATCCGCAAACTGGCTTGACGTGTCACCGGGGCAAAAACCTCATCAAAATCTATCCCGAACTGTTGGGTGAAGCCCTGTGCTACCACCCTGGCTTTGAATTTCACCACCTTGTCCTCTTCGTTACGTTTTACCTTAAAAATTCATTTGGATCCCACCACTTTACGGCCTGCAGGTAGCGGTACCAACTCCCATGTTTCGTTTCGTCGGAGGGAATCCAATTCTTCCGTCATTCCGCCACGCCACTCTGAGCTCTTCATAGCTTCTTTGTAGCTTACAGGTTCCTGCACTGCACAAGCTGCTATTCCTACGACGTAATCCTCAAGGAGGTGGGGATTCACTCCTTTGTTTCCCCTCTGCGACCGACGAACCAGGTCCGAACCTTCAGCTTCGTCATCTGATGCGTCAAAGTACTCGTCGTTGATCAAACTGGTATTCTCATCTTCCTCATTACTGGGTTCCTCCTTGAACGGCCGCAATTCTATGTCGTCTTCAACTTCCATTTGCTCCATAGAAACTGGGAACTCCACCGAGGATGTTCCGTTCCCGAGTTCCAAGAATCGGGCATCTCTGCTAACGGTGATTTTGGCAGTTTCTCGGTCAACGAATCTGTACCCCTTGTGTTCCATGGAGTACCCCACGAATGTGAGTTTACGAGCCTTTCCGTCAAGTTTGCTCCTCTTCATACCTGGCACATGTACATACGCAACGCTACCGAAAATCCTAAGGTGTCCCAGATCCGGCTTTCGTCCCCACCAGAGCTCGTAGGGAGTCTTCGGCACAGACCTAGATGGCAATCGGTTCTGGAGATACGTTGCGGTAAGAACAGCTTCGCCCCAGTATCGCTTCTCAAGACCGGAATCAAGGAGCATGCATGTTGCCATTTCCGTGATCGATCTATTTTTCCTTTCGGCAACACCGTTGGACTGGGGGGAATACGCGGTAGTATACTGCGGAGTGATACCTTCTTCCATGTAAAATTTCCACAGTCACTTATTATCAAATTCTCCCCCGCCATCGGAGCGCACAACCCGTGGTTTACGTCCAAAATTGTTCTCTGCCCAACGCACATAGTCGACAATGTTCTTCGTTGCTTCCGACTTGTGCTGCAGCAGGTAAGTGACTGTGAACCTGCTATAGTCGTCGATGATGTGCATCACGTATCTGTTTCCACTAGGAGTGACGGTTTTCATCGGGCCGCAAAGGTCCGTGTGGACAATATCAAGGACTTGTAACGACTTCCTTGTGGTTACTTCTGGGAATGGGGCACGGGATGCCTTCCCCTCTAGACAACATTCACACACAAGTTTTAAACTACAGTCTCTCACCTGCATTCCGGTCGCAAGCTGTTCCTTACCGATGCGCTCCCCGCATAAACGCGAACCATAAATTGACCTTACCTAAAATGGTTAAAAATTGTTTATCCCTGCTAAACTTTAACTGAAATGGTTATGGAACTTTACATGAACGTTTAATGATAAAGTTTCAACTTTATGTATTATGGTTTTTTGGAAATGGACCTTACAAATAATGGGTTGTTAAGAACCATTACCACCCATTACCATTCCAAATTCTTGTTTTCTCCATACATTTTCAGAAAGAGAACTATATAAGAACGTTTTTACTTATGATTTGAGAACATTAATGGTAATGGTTATGGTAGTCAGTAAGGTCCATTAATGGTTTTGTATTATCGCTCAACTTTACGTGGAATATATCGTGAATTGGTAATCAGTAAATTACAGGCAACCAATTCGCGATATATTCCACATAAAGTTGATCGATGTTACAAAACCATTCGTGGACCTTACTGACTACCATAACCATTACCATTAAAGTTCTCAAACCATAAGTTAAAAGGTTCTAATATAGTTCTCTTTCCGAAAATGTATGGAGAAAACAAGAATTTGGAACGGTAATGGTTCTTAACAACCCATTATTTGTAAGGTCCAGTTCCAAAAAACCATAATACATAAGGTTGAAACTTTATCATTAAAGTTCATGTAAAGTTCCATAACCATTTCAGTTGAAGTTCAGCAGGGATTATAAACAATTTTTAACCATTTTAGGTAAGGTCAATTTATGGTTCGCGTTTATGCGGGTCTGCAGCCGCCCAGTCGCGGTGCCCTAAACGCCGATGCCACTGATGTTGACAGTTCTCCTTGTGCTGTCCCGATGTTGCCTGCAAGGTGATACAGACCACCATGGCGAAAACCCGTCGCCACGACAGTCCCAGCTTTCACGATTCTCCAGCCTTCATTGTTGAAATGCACTTCGAAGTTCTTCAAAGTCAGCCTCTCCACAGAGATTAGGCTGGTCGACAATCCCGGCACATATTTCACATTTTCCATGTCAATCTTGATCACTTCATTGTTACCGTCAATACCGTGTATAACGCCACTACCTTCCCCAAGGATCTGAGTCTTGTTCCCATCGGCCATGGTGATCCAGCCACCAGGAAACTCATTCAGGGAGGTAAAAAACGACTTATTGTTCGTCATATGTGCACTAGCACCACTGTCTATGATCCAAGATTGACACTTTCCACTCGAAACGATAAACGCAATTCCTCTGTTGTCACTTTGGGCAGTTTTAGCCTTCACTTTATCACTTCTCTCCTTCTTGGAGGAACTTCCTTCTTCTTTCTTCAGCAACCGGCAATTTCTTCGGAGATGCCCCGGTTTATTACAGTAATGGCAAATACGGGTCTCCTTACTTCCCGACTTGTACTCGGCGGAACGCATCGCCTTTTCGGATTTCACTGAAACACTTTCTCGCTCAAGCCGCCGGTGGTATTCGTCCGCGATTTTTGATTTCACTACATCGATCGTAACATCATCCCCGGCGCGGCTGTCAAGAGCGGTAACCAACCCATCGAACGAAGGCGGCAGACTACGCAACAACATGCAGATCTTCGTATCTGCATCAAGCACTGTACCGGCCGCGTCAAGACGGTCAAACAACTCGTCAATTTCCACTAGGTGCTGTTCGGTATCACTTCCTTCCGACATATTTGTCGAGCAAAGCTTTTTCAAAAGCGAAACGCGCACTGAACGAGATGACTTTTGATGGTAGTTCTTCAGCGCCACAAATACATCGTGAGCAAGTACACAGTTCTTCACAATGGGGAGCTGGCTATCTTCAAGTAGCAGAATGATCGTGGCTTTTGCTTTCCGGTCATTCGTCTTCCATACCGCAGTACGAGCATTTTCCGCCGGGGAATCACTGACAACAACGTCCCACAAATCTTCCCGACACAATAAACTTTCCACTCGTATCTTCCACGTAGCCCAGTTCGTTCCATTGAGCTTTGGAACCGAGAACTTCGCGTCCGTCATTTCGATTTAATTTTTCAACTCACAATCAAAAAAGAACAACACTCGCGGCTCGAGTCCTTCTCGAACGTTCTTTCCACACATCGCACGTAGCGGTAAGCACAAAAGAATGGCGTCACACCGGGCCAAAACTTTTCAACGTTTTCACTTTTCGATCCGATCCTACTGGGCCCATAACCTGACGGCAGGAATGCGAAACAGAACAACAGCGAACGGATTCGGATCAGTTGTGGAAAAATAAAGAGCACACGCGAGATTAAACGTTTATCTTATTTATTGTCGAGCACTAAAAACACCGATCAGAACGCGGTAGCGAAACTTTTTATTCTGTTTATGTTTATTGTATTGTTCTGATTGTTCACCCTCATGCCAAGATGAATATATGTACAAAGGTGTACACAACAAACAAGGTGTACACAACAATCCTGGGGTGAATAAAGTGGTAAACCTTGCACATTCCACAGAAATAACGTGCTCAACTTTTTGGCTCAGCTCCCCTAATAAAAAATAACCATAAACGAACGATAACCCAAATCATTGAACTATTCCATAAATGGTTTGGATGATACCCAGAACACGTCGTTAAGCAAATTAACCATACAATTTTTATTAGGGTCTGGTACTCTATTCGGTCCCAAGCTAATCGATTCACCCCTCGAAACATAGGAAAAACCAATAACCCCTAATGTTTATAATGTCAAATTGATTAAATTTCAAGCAAACTGGGAATAGTTCAATTTATCAGTGTACACTAAAATTTGGGTAGTTTGGAAATAGCGTTTACACATTGTTGAAACTCCACGAGCGTGCATGACATGACAGTCGATTCAAAAACAAAACATGCACGTGTTTTTGTTTTACCGCAAACCATTCAAAAAACGCAACGCGGTTCGTCTCGGTAATGTAACATTTTTCCAATTCTTATCGAACTCTTAACAAGTTTAGTTGCATAAATAGATAGAAACAATCGCCCTTGTGTCGGAAAATGCGCGGTAGTGTAATATTCCAGCAAAACCGTGCCCTGGGCTACGTGAGCAATCACGTTCAGGCCTACGTGCGGTACATCGAGAAGCGCAACGAGAATGTCATAACAACCTGCGTGGGTAAGTCGTTCCATGTGTACGGTGCCAATAGCTTCCGACTGATTCGGGTCGGAGGACTGCACCCGGAAGATATAAGCTGCATCGCGGCGGACGGGTTCTTGACCTATGTTGCCAGTGGAAATGTGATCTACGGCTGGAGATCGAGTACACAGCTACGTAAGACGTACAAAGGGCACGAGAAGCGAGTGCACCTGCTGCTTCCATTTGGGAAGCATCTGCTCTCGGTGGACGAGGGAAGTTTGCTAAAGATTTGGTTCGTTGGCACGGAGGAGGTTTATCTGGAGATTCCATTCAACAATGAGCAGTTCGAAATTTCGGCTCTGATGCACCCGGCTTCCTATAAGAACAAGATTTTGCTGGGAAGTAGCCAGGGTGGACTGCAGCTTTGGAATATAAAAAATGCAAAGCTGGTGTATACTTTCAAGGGGTTTGATAGTAAGGTTGTGGTTTTGGAGCAAGCCCCGGCAATTGATGTGGCGGCTATTGGTCTCCAAAATGGAAAGATCGTACTGATGAATCTAAAGTTTGAAGAAACAATCATAGAGCTGACGCAGGACTGGGGACCGGTGACGGGGATTACGTTCCGCACGGATGGGCATCCTATTATGGCAACGGCTAGCACTAATGGTCAGGTAACATTTTGGAATCTGGAAGAGCAGGCGATCGTTTCTACGTTGTTGGCTCATGATGATTCCGTTACGAGTCTTCAGTGCTTTCCGAATGAGCCTTTGCTGCTGACAACATCCCCGGACAACTCGATGAAGCTTTGGATTTTCGACTTACCGGATGGTGGTGCTCGACTACTGAGAATTCGCGATGGACATGGAGCTCCTCCAACGTGTATTCGCTATCATGGTTCTACAGGGCAACACATACTGTCTGCTGGGGAGGATTCCTCCCTCAGGATTTTCAGTACCATTTCAGAAACATTGAATAAGAGTCTTGGTAAGGCTAGCTACAATCGTAAGGCCTCGAAAAAGCATCGAAAGGGGGAGGATCCTTTCCGGATGCCGGCGATCAGCTTGTTCACCTCAGAGACGACCAGGGACAAGGAATGGGACAGCATTGCTGCTGCCCATGTTGGACTGGTCCAGGTCACTACCTGGTCATTCGACAAGTGTAGGATGGGTGAGCTAAAGTTGATACCGGAAGTCTTTCAGAATAAGAATCGTACTGATTTTGGAGTAACTGCCACGGCACTTTGCCTGAGCCATTGTGGTAATTTCGTTACGATTGGTTACTCCAGTGGACACTTGGAACGATTTAACATTCAGAGTGGAATACACCGGGCGACCTATGGAAAGCCACCGGCGCATGACGGCGTGGCAGTGCGAGGAATTTCCATGGACAACCTGAACCAGTTCGTGGTTTCCGGTGGAGCAGAGGGAAAGCTCAAGTGGTGGCTTTTCAAACAGAACAGTAAGAATGAGAATGTTAGTTGTTGGTGTGGCAATTACCTACTTATGGATCTTATATTTTTCAGCTAACAAACCGGTGTGCAGTTTGCAACTCGAGGAACCGGTGTCTCTATTTAGTACCCACCGCGAAAGTGCCATGATTGTTGTTGCACTGGATGATTTTACGGTACTGATTGTGGATTCGGATAGCCGTGCGGTCGTAAGGAAGTTCGTCGGTCATAAGGGACCTATCACCGATGCTTGTTTTTCGCCGGATAGTCGTTGGCTTCTTACGGCCAGCCGAGATTGCACCGTTAAAGTATGGGACATCCCATCCGCGTATCTTGTCGATCATTTCCGTATGCCTCAGGTTTGCACCTCTCTGAGTATGTCGCCAACGGGGGACTTCCTGGCAACGACGTACGTAGACAACAAGGGAATTTACCTGTGGGCAAACAAAACTCTTTTCTCGCACGTGTCCCTCAGGGCAATCAAACCGGATGCCGAAGCCCCGTTGATGAACCTCCCGGCAACGATTTCCGACGAAAACGCGACGGCATTGATCGATGAGACCGAGATGGAAATCGACGACCTGGAAGATGCCATGGAAGATATCAATCTCAACTATGAGAGTCCACCACAACTTTCGCGGGAATTGATTACAATGTCCAACTTGGCTGCCTCGCGTTGGCAAAATCTACTCAATTTAGACATCATCAAAAAGCGAAACCGCCCGAAGCAAGCACCGCAGAAGCCAAAGTCGGCACCATTCTTCCTGCCGACTGTTTCCGGATTGGATTTCCAATTCGATTTGAGCGAAGCACTAGATCAACAGGCGGACGATTCGTCCAGGATTGTAAAACAGAAACAGGTGGAACAGTTGACCAGTTTCGGGAAGCTGCTAAAGGACGCCGTGTCCAATGGCGATGAGGAGTTCATGAAGGCGATCAATTTTCTCCAAAAGCTGGGACCCTCCATGGTGGATTTCGAAATTCGGAACCTTAGTCCCTTGGACGGGGGCAGCGGAAGTGTCTCGGTGATGAATGCTTTCATGCGAATGATTGTGGCACTGCTGGAGAGCAACCGGGGTTTCGAACTGGGCCAGAGCTGGCTGAGTGTATTCCTCAAGAGCCATGGGCGAACCATTGTGGATAACGAGGAGCTGAGGGCAATGCTGGACGAGGTAGAACAGGCGCAGGCCAAGGGGTGGAATTTGTTGGAAGAACGATTGCTCTACGGGATGGGAGTGGTTAGTAGTCTGAGGAACTTCAATGTTTGAAGTCGTTTTGATTATATTAAAAAGAACAGTCGTTAAACTGAAAAAAAAGAACTAGTTGTTATTTTGAAAGAAGTTTCCGTACACATGCGTAGGTAGAACAGATTGTATGCACGGTAAGAAAAAAGTACAAAACGGCTTCACTTTTAACTAGTTTATCTCCTTTTCGAACGGAAGGCCTAAGGTGGAGTGCAGCTGGAAAGAGGAGACGGCGAATGAAAGTGGGCGATAACGATGGGCTGCGCACTTCAAAAGAATATCGGACGAAAACCTGATGCAAATGGTTCTCGAAAACGACCGGACTGGAACTAGACAAAATGCGTGCAGCGGGCAAGGTGGATCGTCCAGGTAACTAGCGGAGCATCCGCAAACAGCGTTGCTGGTGGCAATATGCAGCCATGGATCGAGTAAAATGTTCTAGGCGATTTCCTATCTCCCATGTATTGGATCGATTATGAGCATCAATTTTTTTTTTCTGTAATGGGGACAAATTAGTGAGTGATGTGACGGTGATAATTGTAGACGTATTTGACAGAATTTTAAGCAGTACTAGATAGACAGCAAGCTTAGCTGGGAAACGAATTCACTACATATAGACAAAAAAAAAAACAATTCAAAGAATGTGATTGCTGAAATTTTGTTTGCAGCTTGGAGTTGGATTTTGACCGTAAGCTTCCTCCATTCCGCTAGATATGGCTTGGTGATATTTACATTCATCAAAAATGCAACCACTATGAATTAAACTGCGTTCTATTTTCGAACCCACATCTCATTCTACTTCTTTTTACCACCTTTGAAGTTCGACTTACCTTTGCCTTTTCCGTCCGACTTCTTGATTTTTCCGTCGTACTTTGATTTTCCCTTATACTCTCCTCCAATCTTCTTCCCCGAAAACTTACCACCCTTCTTAGTGGCCGACCCGCCTTTTCCCTTAAAGCCACCTTTGCCCTTCCTACCGCCTCCTCTTCGATCGTCCCTTTCATCATCGTCATAGTCCTTCTTCTTATCGAGCCTTGGCTTCTTCGGTTTCAGCGAATAATTTGCCCCCTTCGGAATGAAAGGCCTCTTTCTGGTACCGCTCTGTCCATCGAACAATTCCTTTTCCGGAGCCTCTCCGATCGCTTCCTTGTAGTAGCGGGTATCGTCCTCATCCGACTGATCCCCAATGGCTTCCTCTGCATCCTTCAGCAACTGTTTGTCCCGATCGGTTATACTTCCACTCTTCGCCTTGTGTTCGACCTTTTTAATGTCCTTCTTTTTCTTATTTTCCTCCTGTTTCTGTTTGCGTTGTTCCTTCAGACGCTTTTTCGCGGCACGCTTTTTACGCAGTTCCTCCACTTCGACGGCATTCTTCTGGATGTAGTCGTGATACAGGACTTCACCCGTCAGCAAATCTTCCTCTACCTTCATCAAGCGCATCGTCACGCGTGGTCCGATTTCGTGCAATCGCAGCGCCGATTTGTTGTCCGCCAGGTTGCCCCGTCGAAGATTTTGAGGTAGCATCACGTGTGTTTCTTCGTCGTCGAATTCGGAGTCCGACAGCAGGTGACCTTTCTCAACGAAATCGGCAATGTCGTCAAATTTGGACATGTTGGGGATGTTTCGGGTTACGACCTTCTTGACTCCTTTGTTCAAGTTCACCGGCACCACAGTAACGGAATAGTGACGTAAGTCAATCAGTTTTGAAACCGGGTTGTACGAGAGAAGAACGCATCGCTTCAGGGACGATAACTTTACCTAGAATTGATTAAAAAAACCGAGTTAACGATGGAAACCACTATCTCAAACTCAATATTTAGCTCACCGTTGATAGATTTATCGCCGGGAACATGTTCTGGAAGGTTGAGGCCATTAGTTTGAGATGCTTGCCTTCGCCGCTGAAACTGTTCAGGATAACCAGCGGAGGAGTGTGGAAGCTTTCCTCGTCCACGAACTGTTTTTTCGACATGCTAATCACGTCCTTGGCTAGAGTGTATTGTGTTACCTGTTTTCAAATCTGTTACTAATTTCACGAAAGCCTTCAAATTGAATTTTAACACTTACCCGGAAGGTCAGTGTCGGTCCCTTCGGCATGCGGATGATCTTGAGCGATAGGGTCTGCGGCGACAGCGAGAATAGACACATGTGGGAAACGTGAAAGAATCCAGACAGGTGAACAAAATCCTTTATCTTGTTAACACGTCGTTCGCGCAGTGCACTAGCCGTGAAGGGTTCCATCATCCGACGAAAATCACGGGATAGAGATACCACTGAGGAGCACCTTTCACCCCGGTGAATGACGTACGTGTGCGGTGCATTCTTGACCGCGGTCGATTCTTCGAACACGGGTGTGTCCACTTTCACTTTACTCTTATTGCGGCGTCCTTTTTTACGCATTTTCGCTAGTAATTTACAAAATAAAACAGTGGATAAAATTGCAAAATAAACACGCGTGTCCTTCTGCAAACGGCAGCGAACGAACAAAACGAAAGCACGTTTGGTTTGTTGTGAAGTTTGACAAACGCGTCCAGTGAAAAAAGTATAACGCCAGGCAGGCGTTCCACTCTAACTGGTAAGAACCCATTAATTGGTTAAAAAGTGACCATCTCGAAGTAGAGTGGTTAAACTCATTGAATGGGTAAAACCCGGAGTCAATCACTTTCAACTTTCAAGTTATTTTGCATGAAAAATATTCATTTTTTTGCCTTTACATCCCCTCAACATTGTTCACAAATTGGCGCCTTTTTTCCAGAGCAAAAATGAGAACTCGTTCATGATTTGATTACAATTGCTAGAATGAGCCAATATTTTGTAAAGTTCTAAATAAGCTCTGAAAAGGTTATCAAGTAAAAAGCTGATGAATATCAAGTCAAATGGTCGTACATGCTTTTGCTGCTTTCCCTCATACCCATTTATTTTGATGTTTAAGTTTTTTTTTTGTTTAGGATGATTACAATCATTAGTGACTGTTGAGATGAATTAATCGTATTTTTCATTGGTATGAATAGATTACGGTTAACGACTTGTAGTCAATTTTATTTGTTTTTTTTCGAAAATTAGAAGATACTGAGAGTAAGCACATATCATCGGTAAGAGACGTGTGTGTGAGAAAATTTGCGAAAAAAAATCTAAGGGCACCGGTGAGATTCGAACCCACAATTCCCATTCAGTACACGGGTGCATTGCCAATTATACAACGGTGCACCTATAGTATTTTTGAGGTATTTTTTAGTATTTTTATTCTATTGTTTAACTTTTACGTATTTTTTTGTGTATTTTCCGAAGTTTTTATTTACAATTCAGCTGATTTATACCTTGTACAGCTATACAAAGTACACTGTTGTACCATAGAGGTAACTCTAAGACCACTGGGTCCCGAAGAAAATCATTATTATTTTTGGCTCACTCAGTACCAGAACAACCAGTACCAGAATTACTTCTAGGCGACACACGAAATGAGATGCAAAGCGGAGAGAAAAGCAAACCTATGGAACCCATGGATTGGAGCAGCAAATTAATATGGTGAGACCATTCCAAACACCTTCCACAATTATAAAAAAAAAAAAATAAATAAATAAAATAAATACGTGCCAGGTTCAAAAGAACATTTTGAAACTGGAAGTGTGTGTGTAATACTTATATCCTATTGATAGAGGTAATACATACATGCGGGGCTTATTGTAATTGAAAGTAACCTCAGAATGGGCGTGACTCTCCAGACATTCTGAAATGGGTTACTGGATCTGCAATAGAGCTATCACCTTCTAACTCCCGGACTAAAGTTGTCTACAATGACCATAAAGGCGACATTGTAGAGAGAGTTCTTCCATAATACCACCATACATTTTTGAAAGGTCATTTTTGGATTCAGCTGCTGCATGGGTAAGTTGAATAATAATTAGCTGCGCCGTGGGTGATTTGCACATAAATAATATCGGTGGATTTTCACATTTCTGGCGATCCTGCCAGGAGACGAACCTGGAATCTTGGAGACCACCGATAGGTAATAAAGGGCAAATCACCCACTTGCAAGGAAAATTGGAAATTTGAACGCAACCGGGACGGCCGTTCTAACAAAACGAGTGAGGACGGATTTGCGAAAAATCGTCTCCTCGTGGAGGCACGGCCACAGGATAAGAACGCGACCGGGATGGCCATTCTGAATGCAAGAGAGGACGGATTTGCAAAAATCGTCTCCTTGCCGTGGCAAAGCCACAGGAGAGAACGCGACCGGGACGGCCGTTCTGAGAAAACGAGTGAGGACGGATTTTCACAGGTGTGACGCCAGTCAAAATGAAAACACTAGCTTCTCGGAAATTTGCATCCTCTATCCCCAGATTCCGGTCCAGTATCTGTGGGATTTGTTCGAGAACTGCAATGGGCACGGTGATTGGACAGCAAATCTGTTGCTAGAAGAACAAAGGACATACGAATTCGAGACAGCGGATAATTTAGAAGGCGGTGCGGTTGGCGGCCTACTCGCGTTTGAATGTGATTGCAATGAAACAATGGTATCGCAAGTGCCTTCCGGTGATCCCTCCGGTAGTGGTGGTGGTGGTGGAGGGGGTTACGAAATCGATCGGCCTACCGTCAGCTCGAAATCACCCCGGAACACAACGAAAAGAAAAAACAAAGCGGAAGAGTGCTGGAATCGACGTTGGGAATTAATCTCATAAGCCAGCTACACGCCACTTTCAAGGATAAGCATGGCTCGGGTGCCATCTCCTTAGACGAACAACCAATGAACGAACAAAGGTTTTCATGGCACCGAAATGGCAGAACAGTTGTATTTGTCGTTCTTGGATTCCATGTACAGCTGCAGGGGGAAAACAAGATTTTATGAAAAAAGATGCTCGATTGGCACAGCAAATGGAAGCGAAGAAAAAGTATTCCGTTTTGTTCAAAATGACCATCGAGGATTCCCCCAACCTGAAGGACATTATGGAAATGGAGTACGCCCTAACGGCGTACCGAAGCGAAATCAACGGCTGGGCTAAGCAAGCTCCGCAAAATCTGGCCTCGCATATGACTCGTCAAAAGCTAGCCGAAATGTATCATATCATTGACGAAAAAGTCCTGGCAAAAATCCTACATGCCCACAAATTCCGCGACACTATAACCGTCCTAAACAATTCCATTCAGGAAGAGCTGAGAAACCAAATCGTCCGCGAACGGGAAGCCCTTATGAAGCGAGCAGAAGCCGAAAAACAGAAACCACTTCCTTCGTCCTCAACGGCCGAAGAATGCCGCAATATGTCCCAGGACCACCAGGAACTGAAAAACGAATGCCACGAGAAGGCACGAAAGTCCATTCAGCGCGGCATGGCCGGGGTGGCCGAGTACTATGTCCAGGTTGCCCGGCTTCATCGAACCAAAATCGATATGTACAGCAGTAAGGCCTCGAATGCCATCAGGTGGAGGTGCACAAGCTGACGCTGAACAATGTTTGTTGACGTGTTGGATTTGCACTATCTACACTCGGAGGAAGCGCTGCAGTGTTTAGAGATTTAGAGAGAAAACTGACCCACCGGACGCAGCAGTTCAAAGAACTGTTCATCATTACAGGACGCGAGTTGCACTCGGCGGATGGCTTACCGATCATCAAGCACCGGGTGAAGGCTATGCTGCGGGACCTGGTATTGAGGTAACAGGAAGCGATGGATCAAGATTCAGTAATTCATTATCATTAATTATTATTTAAAAATATTTTTTATAACTTTTATACCAAAGGAGAGGGAAGATATGAGATGCATAATAACTAGGTAGGTCATGACTTTTCTTACACATTTCCTGTCAGTTGGTGAAAGGTCATTTTTGGATTCAGTTGCTGCATGGGTAAGTTGAATAATAATTAGCTGCGCCGGGGGTGATTTGCGCATAACTAATATCGGCGGATTTTCACAAGCTCTGGTACTATCTTCGGTCCCAAGCTGATCGATGCACCCCTCAAAACATAGGAAAATCCATGAACCCCTAGATGAACCCCTCATTTTATCTGTCAAACTTTCATAGCGAACCATTCCCCAGAATGTACCATTCCCCAGAAAAGTATGCCATGTATTAGATTGACTATTTTTGTTTGTTTGTTTGTTGAGTTTATTTATTTCTACTTGTCAACAGATAAAATAGTTACCCTAATGACAATTTTCTATATCTAAACCGAGGGGGGCGACACATCTAAATCTCAAGTTTAGGTGCTCAACAAAACTCACACTAGCGATTCAATCTTCGAAAAATCTTCTTTCATTTGTCGCATCTACTTGCATCGCGCATCATCTTCTTGCAGGAAATCTTCAGAATCGTCAACAATCTTCTTTCTATCTACTCAGCGTGTGCGCAGCTAGCCACAGCATAACACTATTTTTTCTGCATCGTAGATAGAGTCGTCCCCCTCGATCTAAACATCAAAACTGCTTCAAACACAAAATTAACGCAAACATCTCTTAAAGCTACGCTTATTTTTCTCGCGGGACACATTAAAATCGAACACATAATAACAACTATTGAAAACGCGGCACATACTCAACATTGGTTCGTGTACGCCATAGTTGGTCCTCGAACGCCGGTTGTTGAAGAACGCATGCAGCCGGAGGTCCCGTCGTTGAGTGTTGATGTCAAGAAGACTGAGAAGTGTGGAGCAGTCGACGTTCCCTTGCAGAAGATCCGCAACGAAACAAGCCTTCGCCACATTACGCCTTCCTTCCAAGAGCTCCAGGTCGATGAGGTTACAGTGACTTTCATAGCTCGGCAAGTTACGCGGGTCGCGCCAACGAAGGTGTCGCAACGCAAAGCGAATAAATTTTCGCTGAACAGCTTCAATTCTATGGATGGCATTCTGATAGAATGGCGACCAAACAACGGCAGAGTATTCCAGTATAGGTCGAACCAGGGAACAGTATAAAGCCTTCAGGCAATACACGTCCTTGAAGCTTTTGGCGAAACGGAATAAAAATCCTAGCTGCGATGAAGCTTTAGATACAACATAAGCAATGTGATCCTTGAACGTTAATTTGCAATCGAGCATGACTCCCAAGTCCTTGACAGTCGATTCGCGTTTCAAGCTTATTCCTCTTAAGGTGTAATCGTGGAAATGCATCGCGTTTACGGCCAAAGGAGATGACCGAGCACTTGGACACATTTAAAGACATCCTGTTTATCCGGCACCAATCATCAAAGACTTCAAGTTCTTGGTGGAGGAAATGAGCGTCTTGAGGCCCTTTTATTACGTAGTAGAGCTTCATGTCGTCGGCGTACGAGAGTTTAAGGCATTTGAGGATCAAGTTCACGTCGTTCATATACAACAGAAAAAGCAATGGCCCCAGGTGGCTGCCTTGAGGAACACCAGATGTAACAATGAAGGGTGGAGAAGCGTAGTCACCGATCTTAACAGACATAGATCTGCCAGTCAGATAGGAGCGAAGCCAGGTAAGTAGACTCCCATGAACACCCATTTTGTCATATTTAGAGATGGTAATTTCATGGTTCACTCTGGTTTTCATGGCGTATATAAAAAGAATAGAAAAACTTCTTAATGGATCAAGGCGTTTTCCTTTCTTTGAAAGTATAGCAAAAGTAAATAATTAATTCTTTGGATATACAATAAAGAAGGGAATATTCCCTTCTTTGAATATATAAAAGAGAACATCATTAATTCGTTAAATATATAATAAAGATGGGAATATTCTGTTCTTTGAAAATTTAAGAAAAGGAAATCATTAATTTATTGGATAAACGATAAAGAATGGAATATTCCCTACTTTAAATGTGTAAATAATATGAAAAAGAAGGGAATATTCCTTTCTTTGAAAATATAACAAAAAGAAAGAATTGATTATTTGAATATACGATAAAGAAGGGAATATTCCCTTCTTTGAATATATAGAAGAGAACATCATTAATTCGTTAAATAAATGATAAAGAAGGGAATATTCCCTTCTTCGAAAATATAAGAAAAGGAAATAATTAATTCTTTAGATAAACGATAAAGAAGGGAATATTCCCTTCTTTGAATATATAAAAGAGAAAATAATTAATTCTTTGGATGTAAATATGATAAAGAAGGGAATATTCCCTTATTTTAATACATAAGGAAAATATATAATCAATAGCTTTTCGCAAGGGATTCGGGGTAATGATCATTTGGGCTAATAACGAGTGGAATAATGTTATAAATTTGTAATCGGTAGTTCAACCATAGAGGTAACTCTAAGACCACTGGGTCCCGAAGAAAAAAATTATTATTTTTGGCTCACTCAGTACTAGAACAACGGTCCCAAGCAGTCCCAAGCTATTTCACTCACCCCTGCATGTTCTGCATGAATCCACACACCCCTGATGTTATCTGTCAAACTTTCATAGCGAATCAAAACAAACATAGTGTAGTAATAGAATTTCAACTAAAATAGCAACAATCAATACGAAACTAACGATTTTAAATTGGCTCACCACTTTAGTAGCCTATTGGTCCCAAGCAAACGATTAACGTACCCTATTCTAGTTGAAATTCTATTACTACACTATGTTTGTTTTGATTCGCTATGAAAGTTTGACAGATAACATCAGGGGTGTGTGGATTCATGCAGAACATGCAGGGGTGAGTGAAATAGCTTGGGACTGCTTGGGACCGTTGTTCTGGTACCGAGTGAGCCAAAAATAATAATGATTTTCTTCGGGACCCAGTGGTCTTAGAGTTACCTCTATGAAAATAGGGTACGTTAATCGTTTGCTTGGGACCAATAGGCTACTAAAGTGGTGAGCCAATTTAAAATCGTTAGTTTCGTATTGATTGTTGGTTCAACGTTCCATGCACCGATTTTTTAATCCATCCCGAGAAATTCTTCAACTCACGTCGAACAATTCTTCGATAAGGTTTAACAGTTTCCGACTGGTTGAATTGGATTGCATAACAGACCCTTTGACTTATTAAATGATGAACGAAGTGCTCGAAAACTTGAAGGTTGTCATTTTATAAAGAGCTAAAAAATGGGTTGGAATTGATAAATAGATAGTTCCATAAAAGTAAACATAGTGTATCATCACTAGTAAAAAAAAATAAAAGTGAAAATTACTAATTTCATCATCTTTTCTGGGGAATGGTACATTCTGGGGAATGCTTTTCTGGGGAATGGTTTTCTGGGGAATGTTATAGAACCGTTGGTACTACCATAGAGGTAACTCTAAGACAAGTAGGTCCCGAAGAAACGTGCTCAACTTTTTGGCTCACCTCTGGTACTATCTTCGGTCCCAAGCTTGTCGAATCACCCCTCGAAACATTGGAAAAACCAATAACCCCTCATTTTATCTGTCAATCTTTCATAGCGAATCAAAACAAACATTGCGTAGTACTAGAATTTCGACTAGAATAGGGTACGTTAATCGTTTGCTTGGGACCAATAGGCTATACTAAAGTGGTGAGCCAATTTAAAATCGTTAGTTTCGTATTGATTGTTGGTACTACCGTTGTATTTCTTCAAGCTAGTACCTCAAATTGTACCAGCGTACTTCCCGCTGAAATGAGTATATTTGACTCAATTTTGAGTTGTTGCGAGTTACCGTGAATCCAATCAAAAATCATACAGTTTGTGGTGGAGGTTTTCGTTCAGTGTACACGATACACTTTTTTTGACAGCCATTTTTACCGTCATCCCAGAAAATCTCTCTTGCTCAGCCAACACGGCACGCGCAACCTCGTGTATTTTTCTCTGCAGGGCTAAAAATCAGTGATTTTTATTGATTTTTCCCTCAAACTAGTTGTGGAACTCATCCGCCATTCTGTAACCGTACGTTTACACCGTCTGTGTTGTCTATTGTTTTCCATTTTCAATCACTTCTTTCGAGGTAAGTTTGAATAGTTAATTTTATTATTATTTGAATTAGTGCTTGCTTGTGGTATGCAGAAGAAAAAGGGTTATTGACCCTGCCTTCCACAGAAGTCACAACTGAAGAGAATGAATAAAAAATAAGTGAGGGGAAGAAAGCGGAACCGAGCGAAAAATGCTGGTCGATTTTGCTTCATTGATCTCTATCTATTGGGAATGGGGTGATTTTGCGTAGTATCTTAATAGATGTCATCCCGTCTTGCATGACCCCCCATTTTCTTGGAATATACTTCAAGGTCGTGCATATCAGCAAAAACCATCTGCAAGGGTGTCCAAAAATAACACCCCTCAGCTTGTAAACTTTTGCTTTCATTGCCAGATCAATACAACAGCAACGCAAAAGATGGCTTCCCCACTAGCATACGAGAAACACTGGGCAGATAAGTCCAACTGTGACAGCGCCGAGAAGAAGTACTACGAGTATCTAGCCCAGGTGAGTTCCAAATATTATTTAAACCCTTTGTAATGTTTTTTAACATTTCCATCGTAAGATTCAATGTCCTCTTGTTTGTCTAAGAAAAGAAGAAAAGCTGGCTGATTATTTGTAAATGTCCCCATTTTGTCTTGTACACGCAAGCTTTCACAAGGAAAAAAGCCCGAATGTCCTAATGTAGTCCAGAAGGCAGCTGCTCCGGTCACTAAACCGAAGCCTACAGCAGTATCTAACAAGAAGGAACAGTCACCACCAAAGGCGGTCGCTGCTCCTACTCCTGTTGCAGCCGCGGAGTCCGACCAAAACAAGGTAAAGAAGGACAAAAGGAAGAATAAGAAAAATAAGGGGAAGGATGTTTCCCAATCACCCGATCCTGCTTCCTCTGCTACCGAATCGGTAAAGGAACAACCGAAAGCTTCACCATTGGTGGCTGCTCCCGTCGCTCCGGCCGCAACCGAAGATGCTTCCAAGGAACAAACCAAAAAGAAGGCAAAGAAAAACAAGAAGAATAAGGCCGGCCAGGAAACTGCAGCAGCCAACGAAGCATCCGCTCATGTGCATCATACTAACCACAAACTACTAACCGAGAAGGAGAATGCCAAGAATCTAAAGGAGAAAGAGAATCTGGCCCACAAACTGTGCGATAACATTACCGAGGAGTTGAGCAAGGTTAACAGCAAGCACTTTGACTTTTGTTGCGATCTTCTCTTTCTTCCTTTCGGTTTCTGTAATTATTACTGAGTTGCTCTCCTTCCATTGCTGGTTGCTCTATTGTCCCTTTCCTGTGGATCCAGTTACTCGAATTTGATCTGCTTTCGACGGAGTTTATTTTCCGCTTTTGTTTTGTTAAGTTTATAGGTGATTTGTGGTTTCCTGGCTGTAGGTCGTGGATTTATGTGTGAAAGCTTCTTTCAGTTCAATTTCTGACTTTAGTTGATATTTTTGAGTGTATTGTTTAGTTTACATGTGTACATATCATATAGCGTCAGGATCGTCAACATTTGCCAATGGTTTTTCATTCGAGACATTTGGGTCTGAACGAGGAACAGTTTCAGATCTGTAGTTGCTCGTTGTTTTTGTTTGCCAATCATTTCAGTTTGATAGTCAACACGTGTTTATAATGTTTGTGCACCACCTTTGTTTTCGTAAAACTCCTCGAGTGTTTGTGAGTCACTAACACACTTTTCTGTTCTTTTTCACAATTTAGATGAGTTCCTTACCGGCACAGTGCACCCTGGCATCGGAAATCTCCAAGGCCAGACAACACATTAAGAATTCTCTTGAGCGAGTATGTGTTCCCTTGCATGGTTCTCGGTTTGTTTCCCTTGTTTAATAATATGATCTCTTCCTTCTTTGCAGATGGATGGAATTGCCGCCTTGGCTGCCAGTCCCGGTGCCGAACTGCTGGATCGTTTGTCCACCGTTGAGAAGGAGAACGAGAAGCTGCGCTCCGTCATCGATGGTCTGAACAATCTGGTTATTGATCTGCACGCGCGTGTCAAGACGCTAGAATCGGGCTCCGCACCTGCCTCAAAGGCTACAGCGCCAGCACCAGCCAAGAAAGCCCCCGCACCTGCCGCCGAAGACGACGATGATGTCGATCTATTCGGTTCGGAAGACGAGGACGAGGACAAGGCTGCTGCTGAGCTGCGCGAGAAGCGTCTAGCCGAGTACGCCGCCAAAAAGTCCAAGAAACCTGCCTTGATTGCCAAGTCCAACGTCATCTTGGACATCAAGCCATGGGACGATGAAACCGACATGAAGCAGATGGAGCTAGAGGTCCGAAAGGTGACCATGGATGGACTGTTGTTGGGAGCCTCAAAGTTGGTGCCATTGGCTTACGGAATCCACAAGCTGCAGATGAGCTGCGTCATCGAGGACGATAAGGTGTCCGTTGATGAGCTGCAGGAGAAGATCGAGCAGATCGAAGACTACGTCCAGAGTGTGGATATTGCCGCGTTCAACAAGATCTAAGAACGCTCTGGATGAAATGCTCATCAGCCTCAACAAATTATCCACACTTACTCACTGCGTAATCATCTATCACACCTCCTTTCAAATTGAAAGTTTTACAACTTTAAATAGCGTTTGACTTGAACAACAAAACTATTGTAATCACCAAGACTAAGGACAACGTGAATGTTCAAAATAAAATAACAAGAATTTATGAACCTAACTTGCGCCGTATTTTTTTTTTGCAGTTGTCTACGCCTGCTCTGTCCAATTGGCGTTGACGGCGACTCTGTAGCTCTTTACTCCTATGAGAAAATCCATAAGCAAACGTCAGACTGTGCGTGAAACATGGCGGACTTTGTACTATCCTTTCACTCCACCGAAAATTCCCATAAGAAACTATCTAAATTTGCTGGAAGAGCAAATTTTTCGACGGTGCCGTCAACGCCAATAGATCCGCTACTCGAACGCCAGAAGAGACAACCAATGGGGTAGCATTAAGTCGGTGGTAGCATGTTAATATAACGATTGTGTGAACTTACCTATGAAATTCTGGGCTTAATTGTGGTGCTAAATCATTTGTTGACTGCGGGTGCTTTGTGGGTTGTTATTGTCGTTGCCTCTGACCGACTTTCGCCAGAATCGGTTCCTCTCATGATGGGGTCCTTATCACCTGTTCCGGAGAAGTCCAGTCAGAGTCGCTGCTAGTCTCAAATTCCGACTCCACCATGCTACTGTACAGATTTTCCAGGTATATGCCGGTCTTCCAATTTTCTTGGGTTCTGGTACTCTGTACGTTCCGTTTTCAAAATTCCGCCTGGATCGCTCCTAAGGATGTGCCCGTAGTAGTTGAGCCTTGATATTCTTACCTTGTTGTTTATCGTATATCCCAGCCACTCTGGGGGCAATCACTACTACTACTCTCTTGTGGACGCTCTTCGTGAAGATTGTCCCAGAACGTGAGTGGATCATGGTCTTCAAATTATCTTCTTCTCCGAGATCCCATATCCCAAAGGGCTTTCCTGATAATCTGTATCATGATTATGTTTTTATGAAAATAAAATGATGTTCCATCCCTCTAGCATGGCATATGTTGATCCAGCATGCAAATAGTTAATATCGTTGTCTTCTTCAACACTTTATCTTCTTGATCTCCTGGGTGCAGGCCCAGTCGGCACCGCCGGGATGTTCTGAGGCATAACATCTCTGATCACGCCTTCCTTCGGAAGGGAAGTAAAGCCGTTGGTCCCCGGTTAATGAGTTGATGGGTCTATAGATAGGGTCCAGGTGTGGGAGCTGCCTCCCTGGCGTCGCACACTGGGGACAAAATCGAAACCTCGATCGATTTTGTGTTAAAATTCAATAACTTCGGTGCTCGCTGGAACAAGAGACTAAAAAATAGTCATTCTTATAGAAAAAAAGTCTCAGGAATCGATTGGAGTGGGTTTCATCTTGGGCACGATGAGGAAAATTGGGGGTTTTCACAGTTTTGCCCTAAAATCTCCTATTTTGCATGATTTGAATGCTGTATCTCAAGATACCGATGATATAGACGGATGATTTCTTGCGTAAAGTTGATCAGGAGGTCAAGGACTGTTGGATGATAGACAGAACAATTCGAAATTCTTCCGCTAGGCGGCGCTAGTGAGCATTCGAAGTGTATATGTTTGTGCTGCTGTATCTCAAGATCCTGACTATTTAGACGGATGATTTCTTCGGCAAGGTTGATCAGGGGGTCAAGGATTGTTGGATGATGGACATAACAATTCAGAATTCCTCCACTAGGTGGCGCTAGTGATTATTGAAAGTGAATATATTTGTGCTGCTGTATCTCAAGATCCTGACTATTTACACGGATGATTTCTTCGGCAAAGTTGATCAGGAGGTCAAGGAACAATCCGGAATTCTCTCACTAGATGGCGCTAGTGAGCATTTGAAATGAATATGTTTGTGCTACTGTATGTTCATGTATTCTTCTTTGTGTGCTTGTGTGTGTGTGTGCGTGTGTGTGTGTGTGTGTGTGTGTGTGTGTGTGTGTGTGTGTGTGTGTGTGCGAGCAACAGGGACACATCTGTGGTACTTATCCAACGGAACATTCAAATGTCTTCTTCATCGCTCTCCTCGTTAAGTTCACCGGGGTCATCATCTTCTTCGTCACTCTCTTCGATGAGTTCACCGAAGTCATCAGCTTTTCCATGGTTTTCATCACTGTCATCTTGTTTCAAGGTGTATTCGTCCAGCCTCTCTTCGAACCTGGCATCAGTACTTCTCGATTGTCTGCTCTGGTTAAAGAAACAGGCAAGCTTTGGGTCAGACCTAGTCAAAGCTTCGGTCATCATGTCGGTCAAATTTTCTTCCGGAGACGTTTTCCGAGCTAGATGTGGCCGAATGAATTTATAAACCTTATGGCAATGTTCACCGGACTGCTCGTCAACAAAGTTCATGGTATAAGGCTGGATGTTTCAAATTGAAGGAAAAGAAAACAAAACATTTATGATTGTGATTCGATATACTATTAAATCTAAGCTTACCAACTTTTCAATGAAATTTGCAAGATGCATGTACTTATGTATGGATGGCGGCAATTTCATTAGGTGTAGGAATTCATTGAAAATCTGCTTTTCAAGAGTGTTATACAACTCCATAACTTTGGTAGGATCCAATACTCTAGAAGAAAGCGCCAGGCAACTGATGAGCCGCAGATTTTCCACCAGGTACGCCGATGATTTTTGAAAATTTTCCGGGTTCTACCAATAAACGGCGGGCTATATTGCCGTTATTGCAGCACCAAGACTAAGGACAACGTGAATGTTCAAAATAAAATAACAAGAATTTATGAACCTAACTTGCGCCGTATTTTTTTACAGGCCACAGGTTGCAGCCGTTTGGCGGCTCAGTTTTCTGCGCCTGCTCTGTCCAATAGATCCGCTACTCGAACGCCAGAAGAGACAACCAATGGGGTAGCATTAAGTCGGTGGTAGCATGTTAATATAACGATTGTGTGAACTGTCCTATGAAATTCTGGGGTTAATTGTGGTGCTAAATCATTTGTTGACTGCGGGTGCTTAGTGGGTTGTTGTTGTCATTGCCTCTGACCGACTTCTTAGCCAGAATCGGTTCCTCTCATGATGGGGTCCTCATCACCTGAATCCGGAGGAGTCTGAAGGAAATAGGTCTTCTGTCCCAGTCAGAGTCGCTGCTAGTCTCAAATTCCGACTCCACCATGCTACTATACAGATTTTTAGCTCCACGTCCTGTCGAATACAGGTTTTCCAGGTATATGCCAATCTTCCAATTTTCTTGGGTTCTGGTACTCTGTACTAGCGTTCCTTTTTCAAAATTCCGCCTGTGCTCCTAAGGATGTGCCCGTAGTAGTTGAGCCTTGATATTCTTATCGTGTTTTTTATCGTATATCCCAGCCACTCTGGGGGCAATGTGGTCACTACTACTACTGTCTTGTGGACGCTCTTCGTGAAGATTGTCCCAGAACGTGAGTTGTCTTCTTCAAAACTTTATCGTCTTGATCTCCTGGGTGCAGGCCCAGTCGGCGCCGCCGGGATGTTCTGAGGCATAACATCTCTGATCACACTTTCCTTCGGAAGGGAAGTAAAGCCGTTGGTCCCCGATTCATGAGTTGATGGGTCTATAGATAGGGTCCAGGTGGGGGAGCTGGCTCCCTGGCGTCGGTAGCATTGGTGCTCAGCACGGAAAACAAGATCGACGAAAAACAAATCAAGGAAAAAAAATAATCCAACAAACTTTTGGTCCGCTACATCACAACTGGCATCACTAGTGTGCATCTTTCAAAATGTTAAGATACAGACAAGCCCTTCTGGAACCTGGTTGCAATCCTCAAGGTTATGCCAATTCCCAGGGCCTAACTGACGTCGTATTTATTCTATCTAAATTATATATTCGCTTTTATTCTCGTTTTCGTTCGAACCGTATTTTCCACTAAAAAAAATGTTTCAACTGGGTTCCCTTTTCCATTGGACACTTCACTGGATTGTAATCCGCCATCTCGACCAAGAGAAATCTCGCCAAGCGTACCAAGAGCTTGTCCAAATTTTCAGCTTGCGATAGTCGCATGCGTCCTTGTCCAACATCGTAGTCCACACTTGCTTATACCTAGGAAGTGCGTAACTGCTCCACAGTCAGACATTGCAAATGTTGCCGTCAATTGCTTCTTCAACTTCATGATGCTCTTCAGATTCCTTCCGAATATGAGCAGGGCGAAATCCAAATTTAACAACTTTTCATTGAGTCTCTCGTTCCAACATCTCGAAGACTGCGTTAAGCCGCGAAGTGCCTCAACGCCATCTGGGACCTCCATATTGATGTCCTGTTTCAGTTCACCTTACAAGTACGCTGCCTTCTTTTTTTTTGTAGTGATCACAGTGGCAGCATACACTTCTTAAACTCTACACTGGACCCCTTTTATTGGTAAATTTTGCTTCTATGAGCCTCTATTTTAAATCAACACACAGACGTTCCTAGGCTATGGTGCCCGTTTGATCACTGTTGTTGTTGTGTTGATCCAAATACACGGATAGAAATCGCCTTATACCTTTTGGTAAATTTCTATTGAAACACAATGTATCCACATGCCAAAATTGAGCTCTCAAGGACGTTGTTTACCCCCCTGACGATAATTGGTTAAGGTATTGCCGAAGCCAACTTTTCCCCTACTTTATGACTCAAAGTGCAATGAATGAGCGTTAGTTTCGGGATCATTTCAGTGTTAGAGTTATGTTAGTTTTGATCCGTAATCAGCCCTGCCGGCCCCTCCAACATTAGTTGCAGGCAGTGGTTGTTAGATAATGCGGCACTGTAACTACTACTATTTTAGAGGTATGATTCGTCAAGTTTATACAACTCAATGTTTCAATTGAGGCAAACTATCTATCTTACAATTACAAAAGCAAACCTAAACTTACAATTATATGCAAATGCAAAATGAAACTTGACAAATCATCGTCAATCCCCTTATTTCAGGGCAGGGCCTGACGATTTGAATCTAATTTTGATCAGTGAACGGGCACCATATGGTACATTTTCTCCTATCCTATCTCTGTCTTATCTCAAATACAAAATGCCAATGGTATGAATGTATCTATATATAACTTGGAAACCCGTAACCCACTCACTTGGCCAGGCTTCAGAATCGTCCAGTGGGCAGTGCGCTCTACACTTCAAGTTTCCTTTTTTGATATGTTACCCATTGAGTGTTGATTAATCACAATGAAACATTGTGACAGAGGTTGAGGTTACTAGTGTATTAAATAATCTAGGTCCTATTTAGGATTATATCTGAAAAATCCAAATCTGGCCAACGCCCACCCTAAACCTAAACCTGTTCTAATCCACCTGAAATGACTAACGAATGGAAGACTTTGACTACCCAGCCATGCAATAGTCTCATTCCGTGCCTTATGGCAACTTGATGATTCTATTGCGCTCATCTTCTGGCACCACCCAGGGGAGACTTGGTCCTGTACCCAATGCTTAACTTATCTCCATTCCACTCAGCTACTCGCAATTTCTTGTGATATAGTGGGCGGAATATTATTAGGGTAGAGAACTACTTCGGCCTAATCGCCCATTTTGGGCCTACTTCGGCCTAATCGCCCATTTTGGGCCTACTTCGGCCTAATCGCCCATTTTGGGCCTATCGAGCAGAAAACATCAAATAAATCCGTGATTTCAAAGTTAACAAGTCAATTATGCGTTTGGTACGATACTTTAGTTAATAAGCTACCGAACGAAGTCAATGAGAACGCGTGATATGAAGGTATGCACCCATTATTCCCAAAAACAAAAGAAGCGCTCCGACCGAATCAATTTTTATCTTCATCCGATAGGCCGAAGTGAATTCATTGGCGTTTCAATTGCGTTTCAATGCGTTAGGCCGAATTTAAAATCCGTAGGCCGAGTTTGGCGTCAAGAAGCAGTGTTGGACTTTTGACAATATCTCAACGGTTGCTTTCTCGTTTTCAAATCTTACGGTGTACGCACGGAAAGGTAAATAAATTTGGAAGTCATCAGTAATAATAACATTCCGTTTGGTGCTAAACTGAACTAGATTAAGAAAGACTAAATGCGGGTTATGCTTAATAGGCCGGAAATGGGGTAGTTAACCCTATATGAGACAATTCAATGCAGACGTCTTTCCAAATTTGGCAGATCGACAGGTAATCGGTGAGTTACCACGATAGTTGCTATTCAACAACTTGACAACGTCCCATCGTCAACGCCTGCTATGAGAATTTCCCATTGCAGACGCCAATACCACTACTACTAGATTGAACTCAATGAGCTGGATTACCGAGGTGATTTTACGTTGATTTTTTGGTTTACTAATACAACCCTATTTCACGATCTGCGCCACCTCTCTCTGTACCTCATTGGATTGAACTAGCATTTTCACCAAATGTACTAGAATGTTTTGGTTCTATCTCTTTCACTCTACTCAAAACTGAAATGCATAAAAAAATGACAAAATGATACGCACTCTTTGCACACTGTCAAAGAATCATTGTACACAAAATCAACTTTGTGCAAAACCAAAACAAAAATACTATCCCATCTGGTGGATGATGACACAAGCTTCTAAGAAAATACTATTACAGCGAACCACATTATTTTAATTGATTTCTTCGCCAGTTTGTTTATTAACCCCAACTTGTCTTGTGTATTGTGTTAACATGTGTCTATTGTCCTCCCCCAACTGTTGTTAAACTCGTTCTGTTACTCTGTTACGACTAATTTCATTGAATGTTTTTATGTTTTGTCATCCACCTCCTTCTCTCTGTATTTCTGTCCATAAATATATTATGAAACTTTGTTTAATTATTCCTTACATATATGATTCATACCCATTCGTGATTTCCTTTTCTAACTGATTCACTACATTAATTTGAAATGTCATGTTACATACCATATGCTTTCTGTGTTTGCCGCTTTCTATTTCTATCATTACTCTAAACAATTTCTTCGTTGATTCTTTCATTTTTCCTTTATCTTTAGCTATTTCTTGCCATTCATTGATATTGATATCAATTCTTTCGATGTCTTGTCTAATGCACGTCCTCCATGTGTATGCTGGTCTTCCAACTTTCTCCTTGTATATCTTGTATTCCAGTGCTGTTTTTAGGATGCCGTTATCTTCACTTCTAATCATGTGTCCATAGTAGTTCAATCTAGCAATTCTGATTTTGTTATTTATTGTATAACCGTTGAGCCAATTCTGAGGTATATATGGATTGTTTTCGTTTTGCTGGGGTTCCATTCCAGCATATGGTGAGTTGTCGTTTTCCGTTATTTGTTCATCTTCTCTAGGATTAGCTACTTCCATCGTGTAGATACTTCCATCGAGTAATTCACCACCGGAGTCACTAGACAGTGGTACAATCTTCTAACCACATCCCACGCAAGGCGATGTTCTTTAAGAAATGAACATAAATGAAAATCAGTCCGCATCGTGCTCTCTTGCCGTGCGGATCTATTTGCTTTTTGCTGAAGGAAGTGTTACTACTACCTAAAGCTACAACAAATTTTAACAGCACTTTTCAGTGCTCAACCTGTAAAAATTTTCTACCTTGTTCAACTCTTATTCCTCTTCGATCCTTGTTTGGACCCTACCCGAGGTAATCCTTCTTGGATATCGATTTGGAAAATTCCTCTTCGATCCTTCAGATTCTTATAGTAATCTGCTTGGAAGTCGATTTGGATAAAAATTTACTGCCGCCATGGCGCCTAAACGCAAAAGAAAGGGGCAAACTCTTGACCCCCCTTCTGATGAAATTAATTTGAGTAATCAATTTGATTTGCTCACGGATGATGAGAATGATCCATCATCCAAGAAAAATTCTAGTAAACTTTCCCGGCTTAATGCCAAGAAGGAAAAGATTCCCCCTATTGTGATAACCACTACCGATTTCCATGCTCTTCGCATGGAACTTTTGAATTTCGTGAAAGTTAAGTTTTCACTACAAATTGGACGTCGGGGTGAATGCCGTGTATTGGCTGAAACCTTGGACGGATTTAAATGTCTTCTCAAGTATCTTACTGAGAAGAAGCACAAATTTTTTACTTACGACACCAAAACTGAACGTGTGTTCAAGGTTGTCATGAAAGGACTGCCCAGTGGTGAATCCCTGGATCAGATCAAAGATGAACTGGCAAAATTACTTGGAGTTGTGCCACTCCAAGTAATCAAAATGAAAATGAAATCCCGTCCTGGCGATTCGCGCAACGGGATTTCTAATGATTTTTATTTAGTTCACTTCAAGTCTAGTGAACTAAACAACCTTAAGGCCTTAGAAAAAGCTAGCCTTATGCTCCATGTCCGAGTGAAGTGGGAACACTTCAGGAAGACTGGAGGAAATTTCCAAAACCTCACCCAGTGCCGTAAGTGCCAGGGATGGGGTCACGGAACTAAAAATTGTTACATGCCAGCTAAATGCATGAATTGTGGTGATTCCTCTCACGCAAAGGACGACTGTCCTGTGAAGGAAGATCCTAAGAAATTTAAATGTTCAAATTGTGGTGAAAACCACAAATCCAATTTTTGGGAATGTAAGACTCGCAAAGCGATCCTACAATCTCGTTCTAACCGTCAGGTAGGAAACGCTCCACGTTTCCGACCAGGTACAAATTCCTCTGCTGTTAACAACGGTCAGCGAGGAACAAATTCTACATTCGTACCCGTAGGTACAAATATCTCCCCTGCTTCAAATGTTTCATCTGTACCTACTCCCCTCGCTGCTAACAATGTTCAGCGAGTTAATGGAGCTACCTATGCTGCTATTGCAGCGGGTAGAAATCAAAATACTAACCAACGTTCTAATGGAAATTTTGACAATTTTGACTTAGGAAGCATTACTGCCCCCAAAATGGAATTTTTACAGAATTCATTAATTGACATGATTTCTGATATGCTTAAATCTAACTCCATGTTTGATGCTATTCAAACTGGAGTAAAATTTGCAAATAATATTGTCATGACTTTAAAATTCAGTAATGGATTTTAAAGCATTAAATATTGTAAATTGGAATGCTCGATCTCTTAAAGATAATGAAGACGAGCTATTTAATTTTTTAAGAGTTCATAACGTGCATATTGCCGTTATAACTGAAACGTTCCTTAAACCTGCCCATAAGGTTAAGAAGGACGCAAACTACTTGATTTATAGAAATGATCGTCTTGATGGACCCTGTGGTGGCGTTGCCATCATTATTCATAGACGAATCAAACATAAAATTCTTTCTTCATTTGAAACCAAAGTTTTTGAAACTTTGGGGGTTTCTGTTGAAACAAAATTTGGACAACTTACGTTTATAGCTGCCTATTTGCCATTCCAATGCGTAGGCCAGCAAAAGAATTTTCTCAAGGGTGACCTCCAGAAACTTACCCGTCATAGGTCTAAATTCTTCATTATTGGTGATTTTAATGCAAAACACCGCTCATGGAATAATGCTCAAAGCAATTCCAATGGTAATATTCTGTTTGATGATTGTTCTGCAGGTTATTACACTATTCAATATCCAAACAGCCCAACATGCTTTTCTTCTGCAAGAAATCCCTCCACTATTGATTTGGTCTTAACTGATTCATGTCAACTTTGTAGCCAACTGGTTACCCATGCTGACTTCGGTTCTGATCACCTTCCAGTAACTTTTGAAATATCCCAAGAAATAATTTGTAATCCCAACAGCTCTACTTTCAATTACCATAGAGCTGATTGGGAGCAGTATCGAACATTTATGGAATATAACTTCGATCCAAACATTCCTTTGCAAACCAAAGATGAAATTAATTATGCTCTTGAATCTCTGACTACTTCTATAGTTGAAGCGAGAGCTGCCTCAGTACCAAAATGCGAGGTTAAATTCGATTCAATTATAATAGACGATGATCTTCAGCTCTTGATCCGTCTTAAAAATGTCCGTAGGAGACAATATCAAAGAACACGCGATCCTGCCATGAAAGTTATCTGGCGGGATTTGCAAAAACAAATTAAAAAGCGATTCTCTGCCCTGAGGAACAAAACTTTTGAAAATAATATTTCTAAATTAGACCCGAGTTCCAAACCCTTTTGGAAACTCACAAAAATTTTGAAAAAAACCTCAAAAGCCTATTCCAGCGCTTAAAGAAGGTGGTAAAATTTTGATCACAAATTTGGAAAAAGCTCAGAAACTTGCTAAGCAATTCGAGAGTTCCCATAATTTCAGTTTGGGTCTTACTAGTCCTATTGAGAATCAGGTTGCTCGGGATTTTCTGAATATTTTCTCTCGGGAAAATATTTTTGATGATTCCTGGGGGACTGATTTGGACGAAGTAAGGTCTATAACTAAAAATTTTCAAAATATGAAAGCTCCAGGTGATGATGGAATTTTCTATATCCTCATCAAAAAACTCCCAGAGAGTACCTTGTCTTTCTTGGTAAAATTATTTAACAGATGTTTCCATTTGGCATACTTTCCTGATAAATGGAAAAATGCAAAAGTTGTTCCAATTTTGAAGCCGGATAAAAATCCAGCTGAAGCTTCTAGCTACCGTCCAATAAGTTTGCTTTCTTCAATAAGTAAACTTTTTGAAAAGATAATTTTGAATAGAATGATGCTTCACATCAATACGAACTCAATTTTTGCAGATGAGCAGTTTGGATTTCGCCATGGGCATTCAACTACTCATCAACTCTTAAGAGTTAACAATTTAATTCGTTCAAACAAATCTGAAGGCCACTCAACTGGAGTTGCTCTTCTAGACATAGAAAAAGCATTCGACAGTGTTTGGCATGAAGGTTTGATTGCTAAATTGAAAAAGTTTAATTTTCCACTTTATATTATGAAATTAGTTCAAAATTATTTAACTGACAGAACTCTTCAAGTAAATTATCAAAATTCCAAATCTAATCGACTACCTGTTAGGGCAGGAGTTCCTCAGGGTAGCATTCTTGGGCCTATATTGTATAACATTTTCACTTCGGACCTCCCTGATTTGCCTCAGGGTTGCCACAAATCTTTGTTCGCTGATGACACAGGCATTTCCGCTAAAGGAAGAAGTCTTCGTGTTATTTGCAGCAGACTTCAGAAAAGTTTAGATATTTTCTCTTCTTATTTACAAAAATGGAAGATTTCTCCCAACGCTTCCAAAACTCAACTTATAATATTTCCACATAAGCCTAGAGCTTCGTTTTTGAAACCTAGTAGTAGTCACATAGTCACTATGAACGGAGTTCCAATTTCCTGGTCAAACCAAGTGAAATATCTTGGATTAATACTTGACCAAAAATTAACTTTTAAAGATCACATTGAGGGCATTCAAGCCAAATGTAACAAATATATTAAATGTTTGTATCCTCTTATAAACAGGAAATCCAAACTTTGTCTGACGAATAAACTTCTAATATTTAAACAAGTTTTTAGACCGGCCATGCTTTACGCTGTACCAATATGGTCTAGTTGCTGCACTACCAGGAAAAAAGCACTTCAAAGGATTCAGAACAAAATTCTGAAAATGATTTTGAAGTTGCCTCCCTGGTACAGTACAACCGAAGTACATAGAATTTCGAATGTTGAGACTTTAGCACAAATGTCCAACAAAATAATGAATAATTTCAGGCAAAAATCGTTGCAATCCTCAATTGCAACGATTAATTCCCTTTATACTTAGATAAGATTTAGTTTTAGTTTTTAGTTTTAAGATATCAATTGTTATACTGACATGCAGGTTAAAAAACCTGTTTAAAATACTGAATTGCCAAGACATGAACAATGTAAAAACACTTAGATATATATCATAACAATTAAGGCTGGTACGTTACTGCAGTAACTGGAGCACCTAGGTTAAAATGAAATGTAATTTATTTTGAATTTGGAACAAATAAAGAGTTAAAAAAAAAAAAAAAAAAACATAAATGAAAAAACGCTTTCTGTGCTTTTCTTATCCTGTCTGCCGTTGTTGCACCTCTAGTTAAGCTGCTGGTGATTTGCGCTCCAAGGTATTTCAGGATGGTTGTTACCACAAACGAAGTGACAGACGGAGCGGCTCGAAAACTTTGGTGACTAACCTGCTATTTTAATTTTTCAGTGTACCACATGGCAACACCACTACTACTGGATCGTACCATATGGCAACACTACTACTGGATTGTACTAGCAATTTCACCAAATGTATTAGAATGTTTTGGTTCTATCTCTTTCGCTCTACTCAAAACTGAAATGCATAAAAAAATGACAAAATGATACACTCTTTGCACACTGTCAAAGAGTCATTGTACACAAAATCAACTTTGTTCAAATCAAAACAAAAAACTAACCCATCTGGTGGATGATGGCACAAGCTTCCAAGAAAATTCTATTACAGTGAACCACATTTTTAAATGGATTTCTTCGCCAGTTAGTCGTCTGTCACTTCGTTTGTGATTGTTACCGGCAATTCGTATACTTTCCAAAGATCACTATTTTCTCCGGCTCTATATTGTTTATGATCTTGGAATCCTTCGTTTTCTTCATATTAATTTCAAGCCCGATTGATGCGAGTAGCGGTTCCAGAATTGAAAGCAGTCTTTCCACATCTTCTTTGCTTTTGCAAATTAGCATTATATCATCTGCATATCCCAGAATGCAAGGCAGTTTTATATCGTGGACTTGTGTTAAACTTAATTCTGGGATGGATTCTTGTAGCGTGCATAGCACATGATGCAACATGAGAATGAACATTTGAGGACTTATTGGACATCCTTGTTTAATGGAGTCGAGTTTCGCACGCCTTTGGATACGGTTGTGTTTTAAGTTTGTTATCTGTTTTGTGCGTGCATTCGCTTTCATAGTTTTCGGCTGCATTTGCCGGATTAGCGCTGGCACTCTGCCTTGCGGACGGTTATACGTATGTGAGTGGTGGTTTTCTCGCTTTCCGAGAAGGTTTAGAATCGAGAAAGAAAACATGATTCATCATGTTTGCAAAATTGCAAGCATCAGAAGATTTGGCGCTATCTGCGTGGTTTGATTTTTTCTCCCGGACCAGAAATTTGTGGCATCACGAGTGAAAATTTTAATTTCAGTTTATTTACGCGGTGATGAGAACGGCGCTGATCTATTGTTAGGGTTTTGCCATGTGCATTGCTTTTGTGCATGAAGTGACTAGAAAAAGTAGGAGGGTGGTACAAGACACGACCGCATTGTTGACGTAGGACTACGAAATTTTTGTTCGATTCAATCTAGTTTGTTGTTTCGGATATTATTTTGGAATTAAGTGAATTTCATAACTCAACTCTTTTGTAGAAAGTTGTGGTGGTCCTGAACTGTGATGGTTTCTTTATGGCAAGCTTTGCTATAATCACTGGACCTCGTGGTTATTCGCGTTTATACATATCACTTGCGCAGGAAATCAGTTAGGCACGGCATTTGTGACCAGCATACCTTCCAGTAGCATGAAACAGGTCAAAATTTGCCCAAGTCTGTCAATAAATTTGTTTGTTTTGCATTTGCTTATAGCAAAATACTGAACTTTTCGGGAACATTCACGCCAAAGAACTCACCAACACGCTTTTTGTTACATGCCTCATGCATGTACCAAATTAAATTTTGATTGCCTTTCTTTTTGAACACGCCGGTAAAGTACACAGACTCCTCCCATCATGAGTAGTTTGCTATCAAATAGCGACACTGGCTCCTCTCCTTTTGTACTCTCTGTACTTTAAGTCTATAGGGTAGAGAACTACTTCGGCCTAATCACCCATTTTGGGCCTATCGAGCAGAAAACTTCAAATAAATCCATGATTTTAGAGTTAACAAGTCTATTATGCGTTTGGTACGGTACGATACTTTAATTAATAAGCTACCGAACGAAGTTAATGAGAACGCGTGATGTGAA